GTTGTGGCTGAAAAAAACAAGAAATGATAATGAATGGCGCCGGCTGCACGCGGGGGTTGTTGACGAACCAAATACCAACTGGCGGGTGATAGCACTGCTGCGCAACAAAGGCGGCCGCCGAACATCCTGCGGCAATACCTCGCTGCGGGCATCCTGCTGGCAACGCTGAAATACGAATGGCCACGGTGCGGGAATCTTGGAACCGGTCGCAGATGATCGCCAGCGAGTCCGAGACATTCGCGTCATTGGCTCTGGCGCTCCAGATAGCTCTCCACATATTCATAATAATTGTATAGATTCAACAGCACGGCCCAATAGCATTTTCTTGTCGTCTTGGAAATGCCCCTCGGCAAGCATGGCCTGCTCAAAAACCCCTTGCCCGACTGATGTGCAATGTACTTCCAATGGTACATGTGCTCCCAAGCGCGGAACTCATCTTGGCGACGTTTGCCCCGGGCTCTCCAGAGCCCTTGCATCGCACCTATGCCGCGGTAGCTTGGACCCGGGGCAGGACCTGCCTTGTACATTTTGATGAGGACGGCCACAATGGGTCTGATTCAGGCGGGGAACTCGCCTATCCTCTCGATGGCCCTGACGAGCCTGCATGCAATATCCAACCGGGTGTCCTCCAGGAGGCGTAAGTGCCCGGGGTGGGCCCCGCCCCAAGCCCCAGCTGCGGTCGCGCTGAAACAACGGCTGGCTCGGCGAAGCTGCTCCGCCGACGTCGGTTCGAGGTCGAGGCTTCTCCCATCTGGTTCAGGAAATCAAGCTCCTGTGGCACTGCCTGCCGCGGGCTGGAAAGACGCTGCTGTTCGGCCTGCCAGACCACCGGGATAATTGTTGCTTCCGCGCGCGATGACGTTGCCAGGAGGTAACCCGATTGGACCGCCTGTGGGCCCACCCTATCCATTCGTTCATAGTGTCGTCGGCCCAGACCTTCCCGAGGGCATTGTCGCCCCCTGTCCAGAGAGGTCTCGTGGCCCAGGGCCATCGAGATTCCATTGTCAAAACCTTCGAAGACGGCGCCTGTCAGCCCAAAGTCGGGCTCCTGGAGGCGCCCAGGATCGCAGCTTGCACGCGCGTGCGCACGCTGTTGAGAAGGGCAGAGAACTCCGCGACATGCTCGAGCGAAGCTGGCGGCTGCGAGGTCTTGCTGGGCCTGGCACAGCTCCCATCCTTATATGAATCATGAGATCCCTTAACCATATGAAGGCTGCGCGCTCCTTGAACTCCACCTACCCTTGGCCTCGAGAGCTGATGCTGGCGCCCAGCCGACAGAAGGCACCTGGGCGCGATGGCGCCGACTGCGGAGCGGCGCGTCGGTTAACATGATGAGCGTGGCGGTCATGTCGCCCACGAGATACCAATATGCTTGGTCGACCGCACTGGTGAGACCTGCATTAGAAATCGGGCAAGAGGCTCGTGGGATTCTACGCAATAGGTAATGCCCCCTTTGGTCCAGAAGGTCCCCCAGAGCTTCAGGAGCACAATGGCTTCTGTCCCACTCTGGCGGGCGATTGATGGACCCATGCGAGGCCGCAACATGGATACGCTGCGGCTGCTCCAGGATCGGGATAAGATACGGAGCCCCAACCGCCATCTCCATCACGACTGGCCATGCGGACTACAGGGGTAGTCAACTAAGGCATTGGGCTGCTTCAGGAAATGCTCGAAACATCTGGACCTCAAGAAATAACCGCTCGTCGGTTTAGATTTCTTGGTGCACAAGGTGGGCTCATCTGGAATCATGGTCTGGACCGCAGCTCTGGGCAGGAACTCGGTTTGGATCACCTTAGACGGCGCAACATTGAAATCTCCAGCCATGATGTCTGGCAGCTGGTGGTTCGCGGCTATCTGCACGACGCTAGGGAGGACAGTCAGCATGGCCTCATTGAGGCCGGCGCTGTCCGCGAAGTAGACAAATCCTAGGCAGAAGGTTTGATGTCCCGGGGCCTCAAATGCAATGACAGTGGCCCGCGACTTGGGGAAATCGTCCGGCACAACTAGAGTAGAGATGCCGACATCGAGACCCGCGCGTGCTAGGATTCCATCACCCTGGAAGGCAAGCCCTTCTGGACTAATAATAGCTTGTGGCAGTGCTGCTAGCCATCCTCTGTTAGCGCGCCGCTGCTTCTCGTTATCCAAACCTTGAGATAGAATGCGTGTTTAGTGGCATCAGATGAGCTGGACCGCTTTGGTTGCTTCGGAGCGGAGAAACGTGCCCACGCCAGTTCCACTGCTGCTACTGATCGCGCAACTACTCAAGGTGTTACCCTTTTGACCCACGTCGGCACTCCTGGAGGAGAAGACGATTGCGAGCTCGGCGCCGGGCTGGCCTGCGCCTGCGCGGCCGCGTCGGAGAGGCCCTCGACGGAGGGCACGGCGGCCGCGGCGAGCAGCTCAGCCTCCTTCGTTTTGCAGCCGCCCCTGAAGTCAACCTGCATGTCAGGTGAAGCATCCTCAGGGACAGGCGAATCCTGGGCGGCGCTGCCGGGTCCGTCGGGTCCCGCGGGCTCCTGTTGCTGCTGGTGATGCTGACCAAAACTTGAGGTAACAGTAGATGCCTCTCGCTTCTTCTCCTCCGCCCAGTGCTGGTGCAGTTTGGCACTGACGCTCTCCAACTCTTCTCGAAGACCCTGGGGCACTCATTTACCCGAGCTGCCGTCCACGAGCGGGAGCAGGGTGGTCGAGGCTTGCTCGAACCTTGCGGCGGCCTCAGCCGCTGCAGCACGAGCAGGTGTAGAATGGTGAGCTTCAAGCTGGGCGATGTCACTCTGAAACTCGGCGTAGCTCTGGATGGAGTTGTCGTACGGGTCAGCTGCCCTACCGAGGCTGCTGAGGAGATTCTCGGCTTCGCCTTTCTTGGACTGCAGACGGCGCCACTGGTGCTGGAGCTGATTTGCCAAACTTCGGGTCTTGGCGTCGAGGCTCTTGCGGTTGAGAGCTTGGACCTTGGCTTGCTTGAGGTCTTGGGCCTGGACGTACTGCTTCTCCGAGGTCCCGACCGTCTTCTTCCAGAAAGCGAGTGCGGACAAGCAAATCTGAACGTCGTTTTGTTCTCCTGCTTGCTGGCCATCTCCACTTTTGCTCTCCACTGTCAGGTCCACGGTGCCGTTGTCTGCGCGGCAACCCCATCGATTGCGACGATGATTCGCACTCTGCGGCTTGCTGCCACGATCAGCCCCAGGCACGGCATCCCGATGCTGACTGGCTCGTTGGAACTCTTTGCCACAACTGCTGCAGTGTCTGTGTCCTGCGTGGTTGCTCCAGGTCCAATCCTCGCAACCAACCGTGCTGCACACCGTGTAGGGGTGCTCCTGATTCCACCACTTGGACATGGCGAGAGGGTCTGGCCGCTTGCCGCTGCGACTAGAGAAAGGAAGGTGGCGATGAAAGGATGAATGACTGGTGGCGTGTATCCTCCAGTCTGTGAGGCTGGTGTTCTCGAAGTGCCGCTGACGGCACAACCACCGGCTTTGTTCCTCCCGGGGCTGCACCATCGGGCTCCTGTCCAACGTGTACCTTTTCCTGCACGTCAACTTGGGCACCGCCTGATCCCTGGGCTTCGCCCTTTCCCGGCCGCGTGAGGCCCCGCCTTCTTCCGCCCGTTCTCTGCTCATTAAAGCTGTGCGCGTCCCGCTTAGCTTTCAGCGGAAGAGGTTCGCTCTCGCTCTCCAGATGCAAAACTGTATCCTTCAGTCTGGGTCTGGCGCCCGAGGCCAAGCCACCCACCTGAGCACCAGAAAAAAGAGCTGACCTGCCCAGCTGGCTCGATTGATGTTTTACTTGAGCCAAAATGGCTGCGCGGGAGGAGGAGAAGGAGGAGGAGGAGAGGGAGGAGGAGGGGATGAGTAGGGGGAGGTGATTCATACATAAACCCACGCTTCGACTCTGAATGCACACCCGCTCCCCTCCGGACCCGCTCCCAGGAATACATAGTCTTGAACGTTGTCAAGGCGGTGTCCCCAGAAGTCCCGACTCTCTCCCCAGCGCTATATTTTGGCCCCGAACCGTGTTTTGACGATCCCGGGGCCCGGCGGGGACCATCAGGGGTCGAAACCTCCCGTCGCGATTGTTTCACGAGGCGAGGGAGTCTGGGTCAGTACCCGTCCGCCTCCATGGCCAGAAGTAGCGCGCGGCATGGGATGGCGGGGCTGCGCGAGGGTCCAGGAAGATCAATCCCCCAGGCTCGCAGCAGGGCGAATGCAGACGACGGCAGCTCCCAATGCTTCCCTGGACCCATTCCGGGAATCCAACCGCACCAGTTGTTCGAGTTGCGTCCAGTCGTGCCGACGAGGCCTCCACCCCCGACGACCCACTAACGTTGCCTCATCTCGTCCTCCTCTGGGGAGACCAAAAGGCACCGATACCGCTACTCCCCGAACCTCTCCCGGGGTGCGTTCTGACCAGAATTTCGAGGCGAATCCAGCGGTGACGACAAGAGCCTCCCAGGAGGCCGAAAAACATGGAAAACGAGGGAAGGGTAGAGGTATGGGTACCTCTTCTTCCTCTGATGTAACGTTCTCTTATTCGGCGTTTCGACATTGAGCGGAAGTTGTGGACCTCTGCTTACTGCCACTGTTTGCAACAGTGCGGCCTGTGGGGGAGACTCCACCCGCTCGACACAGGCGCCAAAAAACAGCCAAGATCTACTCCAATGAGGTTGGAGGGGGGGGCCCGCGCCGATCGGCATAACAGTGGACCAAAAACAATGACGATCCTCTGAACCTCGGCTGCGAGGACCCCCTCACTTTGGACGCCCGAAATGGGTACGGAAAGAATGGGTGCAATGCCCGACAACAAATGTTGTCCCAAACCAACAGCGGCCGCTGCTGGGCAGGCGGCCTTCTGTCTCGAATGGGCACACGCCGCGGCGGCGCGGACAGCGAGTCCTGTTCAAAATGAAAAGGATCCGCTGTTGGGCATTGTACCCATTCTTTCCGTGCCCATTTCGTTCGTGCAGACTCCCGACAAGACGGGGGGGAGGGCGCGCGAATGTCCCGGCCAGCGGACTGCACCGTGAGCAAGTCCCCGGACGGGCGGCCCATCGCGGCGGGCGGCCTGCGGGAGGAGTGGGAGAGCACCGGGGCGGGGCCTCGGCATGCGACGGCCGCTGGCGGGAGAACTTGAAGCATGTGAGTTGCGCCGCGGGATAGCCCACGAGAGTGGCGCGCATGCCTCGTACCATATCTGTGCTCTGTTGATCGCGGGCATAAGAACATCCCCCCCAAACATCGATCAGGGCAGGCCATCCCGTCACGCGAAGACCCTTAGTAAACGCACCCCCAAACATCGATCAGGGCAAGGCTGTTTAGTAAACAACCATGGCCGTTTCGCAAACGCCAATTCTCGGGTCCGGGTGGTTGTCGTCCCTTGACTTCAGGCCCCGCACCAGCACCGTGGGGTGCATAGTTCTTCTGCTCTGAGGGCCAGAAGATGATGCACCGAAGCTCGACGACGCCTCGGGAGACGCCAATGCGACACGGTGCACACAAGTCGCCCTCGGCTTGAATCCTGAGCCTCCCGCGGATGCGTGTTGCCTATGCTCAGAGCAAATCAACGCAGTACCCATGATAACTCTGTACTCGGAAGCGGCGGCCAGAAAAGGCGGCGCACTGGCAGCGAGACGTTTCGCGCAAATTGGGGTGAGGGGAAGCGATTGGGGGGAAATTGGCTCATGGGGGGGACATTCATGTGGAATCGCGTCGACACATCGCCGATCAATTAACGATACAGTAGGAGTTCGACCACAAGAAACCTTCTACCAGAAATCCAACCCAACCCTGAGACCCCAGGACGTCCACTGTTTTTGTGGTGTGGGAACGATACGCGTTCCATCGTAGAACCATCGGAACCCAAGAAGCCCAGGGCAACCTGGAGGCAAGCAGGGTGTTTCTTGGCATGGGCTTCCACTGTCATCCCCCGATGAACCAGTCCGCAAATTCCCGGGCGAGGCGTGCGATCCGGCCCCTATCAGGCACTCGGGGGTCGATGCGTCCTCTCTGAGTCTATTCACACCAGAAAGCTCTCGTGGAAGGTTGCCGAATCCCCTTCCAGAGGACCCCACCCCATGCTCCCCAACGATGGCGAGGAACGAGCCGCGCCAGGTTGCCAAAACAGCGCCACGCCTTGGACGGGATGCTGTCCGGACCTGCAGAGACATTGCAAGTGAAGCGGATGGCCTTCTTGACATCCTGCAGCGTGACAGAGCACCTTGGGATAAAGTCGGGCGCTCTCGGGGGAACGAAGGCGGCGTCATCGTCAAGCCATGTTCTCCGGATCTCAAGGTCCGTGGCCAGGTGTGAGAAAACCTTGGACCAGTGAGAGCGCAGGTTCTTTTTGCCGTGACCTCTGAGCATGAGGATGCCGAGCCGTCCACGTCGGCGACGGCGACAATATCGCAAGCTCGACCTTGCACGCAGCGCTGCAGAATACGGTGGTTTCGTTGTCTGCGTTTGTGGATCGTGTCCGCATCCACGTCTTTCAAGACCGAATGGAGCTTGCCTAACTCGTACATGGAATGACATGATCTTTGGCTAAGTCAACGGCGCGCGGGATCCAATCTAAGCCGCCGGTGAACTGACCCGTCCTGCAGATAAAGATCGTCAACGAGGTTTGCCAAAGTAGGGTATCGCTCCATGCAAACATTGATGCTGGCGGTGCCGACTTTGTCCTCGAGCGTTGACGCGTCTGGCGACGGGGGCGCCGAAAGCTGCAGATTGTGCGAGGCATCACTCGTAGCTTGCTGCAGCGGGCTCAGTCCATTCAGGGGCGAAGCGTCGGGGTCAACCCGAATGAGAGTGTCCCATGTCAACGCAACCTGCCATGGCCAGTCAGGGTGGTCAATGGTGGAGTCGGTGGGGACTGGGTCATCCTGGCCGTTTCGCTGCGGAAATCTGCGGCGGTATAGCGGGCGTCGATGTCAAGATAAGTCCGGCTTCCAGTCCAGTGCGGCGCGAACCATCTTCGGATCGAAATTGTGGATGTCGTTCTGGTTGAGGTAAAACCTGACGATGCGGCAGCGCCAGTTGGGGGCTGCATTCGTCATGTGGGGCTGGTGGAGCTCGTGGAGCCCGAAAGATGCTTCAAACAAACGGCGTCATTCGCCAGTTGGAATCCTCCCGCGTGTCCATGCGTCCTGTCGGTGCTGCAGTTGTCGCGCACCTTTGGTCGCTCTCATCGACTACGTACCATCTGTAAATAATAGCACTTTGTCGCGTGGCCTGAGGTGCCGGGCAAGCGCAACATGCAGCGCGTCTTGTAGCTTCACGAAGGAAGGCAAACCTGCCACGAGCGTCTAAGCCAGAACCAGGCATGTCGTGCGCAGCAAGCTCCGTGCCACTGTGAAAATGATCCACATAGGTTTCGAGTGCACCGGCGTCACCCTGGAGTCGTCTGTCGGCGGCTCGGCCAGGAATGATCTGAATGCGAGCCAGGGAAGCCATGATCGAAGGCGCAACAAAAACAGTGCGAGCCGATCCGTCGCAGGCGGTTCGCGCCTGGATCTCTAGCGGCCACGCAGGCCTGGGGCGTATCGCTTCTGCCGAGCGGGCAAAAGCGAGCTGCTGGTGTATAGGTTATTCTGTCGGCGGGCCCGAGGAACGAAGGGCAGAATCAGAACCTGACCTCCCGGGAACTGCATCCGAACGGTCTCGCCCCCAGGCTGCGGGCGCACAGGGGAACCCGCAGGAACGCGCAGGCGAGAGCCTGGGCGCGAGACCTTGCGACACGCCCGGCCGGACGGCAAGGCGATCTGCGAAGAAGAGGAGTCAACTTCCCACTTGGTAAAGGCGAGGGCCTCTCTGGAGCGCCCCACATTCGCGGGAGCCTCGCTGTCAGAAGCAATCGTTTCAACAGGGCGCTTGAAGAGCGGCGCAATAAGGAAGAGTCACGTCGCAGACTTCCCAGAAGATCCCTTAAGGAACCCAGACACGCCTGCGCCCCCCCCGCTCATCTGCGTTATGTTCGCTCTCCCCCTGCTCAAATCCCTGGGCTCTCTGGCGCCACCAGGAGCGCACGCCCCGTTACCCTCCTCCTAATCTTCCCAATCTTCGTCGTTCCTTCTGTTCCTCCTCCTGCTCCCGCTCCACACCTTCCCGAACACCTTGCCCAGCCATAACCCCCCGTCCTGAACAGCACTCGGCGGATGGGCAAATGACGCACCCCTCGCATGCGACAGAAAACTGGACCTCCTCCTCCTCCTCATCCTCTTCATGCCCCTCCTCCCCCCTTCCCCCCACGCGACAAGTTTGGGTTGTTAGAGTTCAAGAACAATTGAACAGACCCCCAGGCCAACCCCACCCTGCATGCCGCGGCCGCCCGACCCCACGTTGTCCCGATGATCCCGGCTAATCCCGGGTATCCCGCCTCGCGCCCGGCCAACCCCACCCTGCATACCGAGGCCGCCAGACCCCACATTGTCCCGATGATCCCCGCTAATCCCGGGTATCCCGCCTCGCGCCCGGCCAACCCCACCCTGCATACCGCGGCCGCCCAACCCCAAGTTGTCTTGATGATCCCCGATAATCCCGGGTATCCCGCCTCGCGCCCGGCCAGCCCCACCCTGCATACCGCGGCCGCCAGACCCCAAGTTGTCTTGATGATCCCCGATAATCCCGGGTATCCCGCCTCGCGCCCGGCCAACCCCACCCTGCATACCGCGGCCGCCAGACCCCAAGTTGTCCCGATGATCCCCGATAATCCCGGGTATCCCGCCTCGCGCCCGGCCAACCCCACCCTGCATACCGAGGCCACCCGACCCCAAGTTTTCCGGATGATCCCGAGGGTCCGAGTGTCCCGCCTCGCGCCCGGCCAACCCCACTCTGCACCCTGCATACCGCGGCCGCCAGACCCCACGTTGTCCCGATGATCCCTTAGAGTCCCAGGTTTCCAGGGATCCCGCCTCACGACCTCGACGAACACGAAAGGACACAACATGACAGACCAGATCATGCCATAACAGAACAGAGTATGACAGAACATGACAGAACATAACATGCCAATAGTATAACTAAGTACAACATAACATGATAAATAACATACCATAACATAACATGACAGAAGAGAAGACGGCACAGGACACAATAACGGAACATGATCGAGCAGATCGTACCACACATTGACAGAACGTATCAGATCATGATACAGCACCACAGAGGATAAAATAACACGACAGCAGACCATAGCGACAAAGAACATTGCATAACACACAATGACGCAGCAGAGCATGACAGAACAGAACACGAGCATGACAGACCATGGCAGCACACAACACAGCCATAACACAACATCACATCATACAATCTCTGACACTTACAAACAACAGACGACATAAGACGACATAACAGAACAGAGCCGATCATAACATAACACACCCTGGTGGAACGTATCCTATCATGGCACAGCATCAGAAACACATCATAACACAATAGCAGAGCATGGCGACGCGGAACAATACATAGCACAACATGACAGAAAAGAGCATGACATAACATAACACGGGCATGACATAACATGGCATAGCCTAACACAGCAATGCCATGTCAAAGTAGGGCATAACAGATAATCCTATAACATACCACAGCAGATCATGCAATACCAGAAGACAGCATAGCACAACATAGCATACCATAACCAAGCACCACATAACAAGTCATACCATGGCGCATAATCACAGAACACACTATAAAACGGCAGCAGAGCATAGCGACACATATTAGCATAACGTATCACGATGTAATAAACTAACATCACGGACCATACCAGAGCAGACCATGGCAGAACAGAAGACGGCATTACGCAACATAACAACACAGAACCGACCATAACATGCCACACCTAGACAAACCCTGCCAAATTATGACAACGCATCACAACACATCTCATAACAGAACAACCGGGCATAGCGACGACACGCCCGACAGAACACAACATGTCACACCAGCCCATGCCATAACACAATACGAGCTTGACATACCAGGACAAGACAGGACGTAGCAATGGCATGACAACGTAGGGTATGACACGAAATCACATACTACACCAGATC